TATATATGTGTGTGTGTGTGTGCGATGCATGCGGCTGGACCAGCCACGGACAACAAATGCATTCGTTTGATCACACGTAGTGCTTCAGCACATTTATGCCATATCATGTGTCGGAGTCATCCTGTGCTAGTGACTGCTGGTGCTAGTGCTGCTTGTGCGCGAAGCCACTGACCACCCCATTCGGCCTATCATACCGACAGCATGCGCTCGCGCAAAGATCCCGGATGTCGGAGGCGGGTCAATGGCAGCGCGCTTTGCACCTGCACGGGTGCCAAGACACTTTGGGAGGGTCTTGTTACCTTTGTTTCACCTTCATGCCAGGCCTGTCAAAGTCCGATTTGGGCAGTTTCGGTCACCAGCGATTAGGTTTGCTGCAGAATTGCCTCGGAGTCGACACTCGCGGCCTTCCCATGAGAAGCCCAGGCTTTCTCTGCTGCAGGGAGGCGGAGATGGTGTGCAGACCGCAGCGGGGTTGGAGGTCATGGGCAGGGGGTACTATGGGGCCAACAGGGACCTCAGTGATCAAATACTGATCAAATACGGTTTTGGAGCATAGAATACTATAAATATGCCGAGGAAACCGAAGGTATCAGGATCCAATATTGCTTGTCCTTCGCGGGAAACGTGCCCTCGGTCGTGCTGTTAAGTTTCAGGTTGCATAGGCGGTTATGAAAGATGTTGGTTACTTGTAGTTACTTGTTGAGCCTGTGCTGAGATTTGACCAAGACGGCTGTCCAACTATTCGGGAGCTTGTGTGTTTCTCCACTGCATTGGAAATGCATGCCGCTGATTCTGATAATACCGTTGCACGTGAAAACTGAGCATTTCGAACTTTGCAGGTGGGTGTCATCGGCTACAATGCGGCCATTTCTGCCTGCGGTGGTCGTTGGCAACTGGCAGTGAGCCGGCAGCCCGAAGTGCAACCCATGCTGCATGCTGCTTGTTCCTTGTCAACTACTCCAGCAGGATGATGTTTCCTTCAGTTGCAGTCGTGATCTTCGCCTGAGCTGACATGGCAAGATCTCCGCAGCTTTAGCTTTATCTGCCCGGGGACTGCACGCCTCCGCCATGGATCCGCTGTCCCAGGCCTTCGTGCCAGCGCTCCGCTGTCCCAGGGCCGCGGTCAACCAAAAAGCCTTCTCACCGGCTGTGAGCGTTGGTCGCCCAAATGCCGCGGCCATCCCATCCGGGCCGTCCGGGCCCAGCGCGCCTCCGCTTGCCCTTGCCTGCTTGGCGGTCCCAGCAGCGGCCAAGGTGGCCGGTGCGAGGAGAGCGAGAGGTCGCCACCTCCGACGAGTGGTTTGCCGGGCAACAGCTAACGACTCCTCCGATCGGGTTCCGACGGAACCTGGGTTCTTGTTCAGGGATTTAGTTTAAGTTACCATAATAAGGAAACCATGTTATGAAACCATGTTATTAACTATAGATCCCTATTATGGTAACTTAACTTAAATCCCTTAACAAGAACCCAGGAACGAGAGCGATACACGGACGCAGCTTGGCAGGCGATGCAGGATGCCCCTGGCTTTGCACAGAAGTGCCAGTCGCAGTACGTCGAGCCGGAGCACGTCTTTCTCGCAGCGTTAGAACAGCCGATCTCAACAACCGGTGGGCTCGCCGCCCGCATACTGGACAAGCTTGGCATACAGAAGCCCGTTGCAGTCACCCGGATCATGGAGGCTTTCCTGCACCAAATCACCAGAGCTGGCACGTTGTCTAATGCTCTAGACCTTTTTTCTGATGTAGACAGACTCCTGCGATGCTTGTCTTCTCTGCATGCAGCAGCAAGTGTCCGCGAATACCTTTTGCATCCCGGGGACACTTACTTGAGCTTTGCAATCTAAAAATTCTTCCCGGCGTTTGCTGAGGAGTGGAGCGACAAGCAGCCCAAGGCGAGCAGAACTTGAATGGTTTCAGACCTTCGCAGTCCGTTTTGCAAAATGTCGTTGACGGTGGCCAGTATGTAAGGTTTTTCCAAATCTTTGTTGGTGTGCTTGCATCCAAAAGGGTACGGAAGCTAGCTCCTACTGCTGCCGTTCATGCCGCCGGCTGTTCCTCGAAATCACCAAAAAACACATGGGCAAGACAAGCTGGGTTCTTGTTTACTAAGGAAACCATATTTCTTTACTATAGATCCCTATTATGATAACTTGAATTAAATCCCTTCTTGCGCCAGAAGAAGTGCACTCCAGACCGGCCCCTGGCTCCCACTCATCCGGCAAAAAAACCGACCCTGGCTCTACGTCCCGGGAAGAAGACACTGAAAACACAGCATGTCTGCCGACACGTTTCGGCACTGGCTCTCCCTTTTGTCGTTGCTCTGCTGGTTGACTTTAAGATGCATTTGTCTCGTATAATATGCAACAATCGCAAGTTCCTTGCGATTTCGGGTGTTCGCTTGTTACGCATGACATGCCAAAGGCTGCTGAGGTCTTGTCTGCGAGCCTACTGTGTGTAATTATATACGACATTAGCGTATGTAGCAGCATACATCCCTAGTAGTAAACCTGCACATGTTCGTCCCTACACCGAATCAGAAATGATTATAAATGGCTACAGATGCAGTCATCGAAGTGATGGCAATCGTAGCTCTTGATTTCGTTCAAGTAGGACGCGCTGCCCATACGCGCTCCTTCAGGTGACCTCGCCTGGCAGCTCCATGGGCACTGCCGCCGGCCGGAGCTTGGTGACGATGATGCTGGGCTGTTCGAGACTGCGTCACTTTCTACCAGCCCAGGCCTAGGCCTCTTTAGTCTTTCGGATCATTAGGGCGACGATTTTTCGGGCATTGGGACGTGATGGACACAGCAACGAAGTAGTATAATAATGTAGGTGTTAATATAATGTAGTATATCTTTTCATTCTAGTATGATGTATTACATAGTAAGTAAACAGAAAATAAAGAACTCTATGTATATATATATATATATATACACATATTAATATAACATAGCATACCATTAACAACTGTAATGTAATCGCAACGTAAGGTAATGTCATGTACTGTAATGAAAGTATGATATGGTGTGGTAACATTGCAATATACTATAATATATGATTATATATTATAATATTCTGCACTATACTATAGTACACTCTAACAGATTATAACTATCGTATAAACCAAAGCCTCGAAAAGAACAGTTTTGCATTCCCGCAGCGAAGGATGTCCGAGTCAGAGGCAGCAACTTGGCTTGCAACGCAGCCTTGGCCTGAGATGCTTCGGAAGCTAAGAGCTCTACATAATTCATCAAGGGTCTCTGTAAAGTGTTGATAACTTGGGTTTGACTAGGATAGCCCCAACTGGGTATGCAAAACTCTGCTTGTAACCGAGCTCTCAAGGATTCGGATTTGAGATTCCGGCTTGTGTTATTGTTGTTTCTGAACCGTGAAATTCTGAGCAGCTGGTAGCTCTTTCAACTTGACTTGTTGTCGGATCTCTGTGGTTGGGGTTCCGTGGCTCACTGGTTAGAATTTCATACCCTGACAATGGTGCCAAAGATTGGAAATAAGGTTTGGACATCGGGATTTTCGGGTGCCAGTCTTTGGTTCGCTTGCGTCGGAAATAAAGTCCTTCGTCTGCGTGCTTGGTTGAGGCGGCCAACCAGTATGGTGATAAGTACATCTCCGTTGAGCACTTGGTCCTGGCCTTCTGCAAGGACGGACAAGGGATACGATACGCTTGTTCCTTTGCAACTGGAGATCGTTAATTAGTTAGATACCGTAAGTACGAGCCCTGTAACCGTACGCACGTAAATCCAAATGCCCTCAGTCCAAGAATTACAATCGAAAGAGCAAGAACAAGAATAATTGCTAACCCTTCGTATACCTGTGTGCATCCTAAACCCTAAACCCTAACCCTTCGGGAAAACAACCCTTCGTATACCTACGTTCACCTGTCCCATGAGGACACACGCTTTGGGCAGCGGTTCTTCTCGGATTTCGGGTGCGACGAAGCAAAGGTGAAAGCAGCAGTCGAAGAAGTTCGCGGTTCTGGCAGAGTCGCTGGACGATACGTCATCATAATAATATTAGTTATACATAATAATAATAGTAATAATATTTACAACGTATGCTAATAATAAATGAAAAATTGACAAGAATAATCGTATATAGTAATAATCATAATGATAATAATAATAATGACATGGTTTAGGGAAGTCCAAGAGAGCTGGGGCTTAGGGTTTAGGATCATCGCATAACCGCAGAGAGGTAGATACCTAGACGTACCGAAACCCCCAGCCAACCCTGCAGCAGCATCGCAGCTCACCTTAAAAAGAAGGTCGAATCTCAGAACCCACATAAACCCTAAACTTCCTAAACCCTAGACCCTAAACCCTGAACCCAAAACCCTAAACCCTAAACCCTGAAGCCTAGACGCTGGGAGCAAGGTCACATCTCAGAATCCGGAGAGCACCTACGAGGCGCTGGAGTTGTACGGCACAGACCTTACAGCCATGGCCCGGGAGGGCAAACTGGACCCCGTGATCGGAAGAGCCTAAGCTCTGGTTATATTTATATATATATATATAGAGGCCTTCCTAAGAGTCCTTCTGGGTATTTTTTGTTGAGATCTGGGTGTGATTTCCTCAACTTAGCATGATTCTGTGTACCTTCGGTCTCGACTAACCTCGAGTATGGTAGCTGAACAGCAACTCCCTCAAGCTTCGAAGAATCCTGAAAAGCCTCGTAGAACCCAGAAACGCTGCAAGTTGAGCTAAACACTTCCTTCACTTGTAAACGTTAACTAGGCCCCCTGTAACCAAGCCCAGCAAAGCTTACAAAACAAGGAGACGAAGAGATCCGGAGGGTGATCCAGATCCTAGCGCGCCGGTCGAAGAACAACCCAGCGATTCGGCAGAGACTTTCTGGTTGCGCGCTTCGCTTTGGGCTCCGGGGTTCCAGGTTGAGGCTTCAGGATTTGGTGGAGGCTCAGGGTTTAGGGTTTATAGTAGAAGCCGAAACTGTGGAAACCCAATAGCTTCAATCCTTAAGTTAAGAGTAATGTATCAGGAATCCCAGCACTATTTGTCCCTAAACCGGTTTCCAACTTTTTGGGGATTACGATTACTATAGACTAGTTGGAACAGCATGGCAGCAGCCCGCAAGTGTGATGTTGCTTTGGGCTTTGAGACGGCCTCGCAGCGCGCACAGCGTCTGCAGAGGTGATCATTGGCGAACCTGGTGTTGGCAAAACGGCCATCGTGGAAGGCCTGGCACGACGAATCGTGGACGGCGACGTTCCGCAGACGCTCCAGGACAAGCAGGCGTCAGGGTTCAGGTTCAAGCGACCTGCAGGGTGATCCTCTTTTTTTTGGCACCAGCCGGCAGAACCAGGGGCAGAAACCATAACCATGCATGCAGCGTTGTTCAATGACATTCCAAGAGTCCCGGCAGGTGATCTCGCTGGACATTGGCGGCATGGTGGCCGGTGCCAAATATCGAGGTGCAAAGTTTGTTTATCCATGCCATGTGAGAGCTTCCAGTTGCCAAGGGCAGGAAGTGACAGCGCAGTAGTTAGCATAGGCGCCTATAAACCAAGACCCTATTCTAAGTTTTTAAGGTCACTATAGTAGCCCTTCCTGAGGTGAGTTTGAGGAGCGCCTGAAAGCAGTGCTGAAGGAAATCAAGGATGCAGATGGAAAGGTCATCTCCTTCATCGATGCGGCAAGACTGAAATTAGTTGGCATATGGTGTATTCGTACGTAGTGAATTAAATGCTATCGCATGTTACAGTATGACAGTCTGAGCCGTTCCCAAAATCTCCTTTGGCATGACACCGACTACAGTGACTACCGTGACTAGGCTAAAATAGGCTTGTTCGACGTACACCCCAGGAAATTCACACTATCGTCGGCGCGGGAGCATCAGGTGGCGTACCTGGGGCTGCAAGCAACTTCTGGCAGGGCATGGCATGGACCCAATACATGCATCGAATACGACACGTTCAACTTATCAAGGTTCAATACATCCCTTTTTGTGATTATCAGCGTTCTGCGCGAGTGGCTCCAGATTGCGAAGCCAGGCGATGGATGCAAGCAATCTCTTGAAGCCCTTGCTCGCCCGCGGGGAACTGCGCTGCGTGGGTGCGACGACCCTGGACGAGTACCGCCAGTATATCGAGAAGGATGCACCCCACATCTGCGAAACCTAGAGCCCTGCATTTGCCGTCGTTACTTGAAAGCTCACTTGACAGCGTGACTCGCTAGGCCCGCTAGCTGACTCCGTTAACGAAGGACCAGTGTTGAATGTCTACCTTGCCTGGCACAGTCCGAGAGTGAGCTTCAAAAATTCCTCGAACTGTGGTGAGAGGCTGTCTTCGGGCCAGAGACCTCCCCTTCCGACCGAACCAACCTCGCCGGCGCAGTCCGAGTTTCGAGAGTCCAAAATCCGCAAAGATCTGAAAGCTGCCTCACTCGAACCTTCTAAGAGCACCGCAGACCCCAGCCCCTGAAGTATGAGGGTCGAAGCTTCAAACTTCCCAATCCCCCCAAACCCTGGCACGTCCTAACAATCTATGATTCCGGAAACCATGTAGCGCTTGCAAAGAAGTGCAAAACCCCAAGCTGCCCAAGCTCCTGGCGCACGAAAACCCTTTTCTTTAAACTGCCCCTTAACGGCCTTGTTTCTCGAAGCGACCAGGATGCAGCTCTGGAGCGTCGTTTCCAGCAGGTAATGGTGCAGGAGTGACTCAGCTGAGGGCACCAACCTCTATCTTTGGGCTCAGCGTTTGATGGGTGGCTTCGACTGAGGTTCAGGGCGTGGGGTTGAGGGTTTGGGGCTTCGTTCAGGATTCAAGGGTTTAGGCTGATGGTTTGAGGGTGTCCGGGGGATTCTCTACGGGTTGATGGGTGTAGGTTTCGGGAATTTCCAATCGGTGCATGATTCACTGATTCGCTGGTTCAGGATGACCAAGTCATACTATTCTTGCGTCTTCTTTCGGATCGTACTGATGCCAACGAAGCCAAGGAGAGTTTGTATGGATGCAAATGGGGTTCGCGAAGTCGGATTCAATTCGGTAATGCGGTGCTTTCCCCAGCACGACTCTCCGAATTCCATGTACAAGCAGACCAAGTTTTCGGCTCGAGAAGCTTGTCGCCACTGGACACAGGTTGACCATGCGTGCGTCGTGGCCTGCACATGGTTCATGCCGGACTGGACGAAGCACCTCAAGTCAAGCTCTTTTCCCAAGTACTTCGAGGTTATGATGGGCCCGGCGTGCCAGATCGCACGCCAACTCTGGCAAAGCCTCGAAGTACTTTGGAGAAAGAGCTGGAAAAAGCTGTCGCGCAGTTGTGTTGTGGCATACAATTGGCAATTCCCTCTGGTCTGTGAGAGTATCGCGCTGCTGTCCCAGCCTGTCGCTTGTGTCCTTCAGCATCCCGGGATTGCTGCAGTTTCCAAGAGTAAGTAAGACGTTACCATGGAAACAGCCAGGAGAATCGACGTTATTGTTGTCCCCGGTCACGAGTGAGGCGGAGGTTTGCACAAACACCCACAATGCAGCTATGAAGGCAAACGAAGCCATCCACAGACTCCGAGAATTGCGCTGCTGGCAGTAGCAGCAGCGGTCTGATATGCCTGTTGCCTGGGCAGCTGAACGTGCGTCCAAGTCAGAAATCTTCAGTCAACCCGCGCGCACAATCTGAGGTTGCGGCCTTGCTGCCTACGCTGCCTTGCCAGAAAATGCAGACTAGGCTACGCTTCACCGACACTGATTTCACACGGACATCATCCGGATCTGGCACCGCATAGCATCGCCCACTGTCCTGCTGCAGAGTATTGGCCAGTTCCTGGGAGCGCCTGCAGGCGTACGCAGGAACCGGCCAATATCGTTGCATGCTGGGAGAGGTACGGCTGCTGGCTGCCAGCATAGGGTTGGCCTCACAAACAGGCAAGCGGCATGCACGCAGAAACAGATGCTGGCAGTGTCTAGAAAATCAATTAACGCAGCAGTTCTCATCAAGGGGATGTTGGGCACCAGACCCACATATTCCGAGCTTTAGATAGCCAGGCATCCACGGATACTGTAGGATACGTGCCGGCTCAATCTTGAGAGGTCAGGTATCCTGGAATATCAGCAGATGCCTGGCTATCTAAAGCGCGGAGTCGGCCGACGGTGCACAATGACAATTGGTGGACTTCAGATCGAGCAAGCAAAGACTGACCGATGAGCGGTTTAGGGTTTGTCTGGGCTATATACGTCTGCAGCTTGCGATGCCAAGTGAGACTTGGCAAAAGAGCAGGCAGGCGCCGTCACAATCGCGTCGTCCTCGTAATGCAGCTTCTGCCGGCATGGGCATGCCGAGATCAGCACAAACGACCGACAAAGGCTCGCCTGGGCAGACGAAAGGCGCTGCTCGCTTCATGGGGTTCTTGGAAAAGCCATCCCATTCCCGGATCCGGGTTTTGAGATCTGGAGCCCGGAACCGCCTCCAGGAGGTCGAGACCCTAGGATGCTGCTTTCTGCCGGCATGAAAGAGCCCCCGAGGATGGAACAATTTCGGCAGTTTGACCTCACCGGATAATTTTTCTCTACATGTAAAAAGAGGATGCTGTGGAGCATTTAGAAACAGCTCTGGCCGTGTGCTACAAGCGCGGATGGTTTCAGCGGAGCAGAAACCATTCAGTAGTCGATTCGAGCACAGGCCACGGACCCGCTCCAGGCCGGTTGGGTTGATGTTTTCCCGGATTGCCCAGTTGAAATTTCACACCAGCCCAAAATGCAGTGTCCAAGGCGCATAGAGGCGAGGAGTTGAAGCTCTGTTGCCTTGAGTCTGTTGGTAGAAGCTGGGCCGAAGTGCTAAAATTGAAAAAAGCGGGCATAACTAGACACTGCTGCAGCTTCTCGAGTTCTCAGACCAGTCATCGCGAGGCGTTGCCCGAGGGCTGCAAGTGTGGGAGTAAAGACAATTAATGCCTATCAATAATGCCCAGCAAGCGCCAAGGCCGAAGGTTCCGGATTGCGTCAGCATCCTCCGAGGCTCCAAGCATTTTTTTGGCGGTTCCGGGGGGTTATACAGTGCGGTTTTGTTCCGGCTGGTCTACGGTTTACAGGGCTGAGGGAGAGGGTTTTCGAACGGCTTGCATCGAGTTATGAAAAAGAGCGGTGTTTCATGAGTGGGGTTCTGCGGAGTCCGCGGGCGTGTTTTTTCAGAAGCACTTTCGGATGCTGCGGGAATCTTGTACATTGTAGAGTTTATAGGGCTTGAAGTCTTTGAGTCTAGTATGGGGCTCATACCAGAATTTGGGTTTAAAGCTTAAAGTTTTTAAAGCCTGTCGACTAGCTCCTCATGCCCGGCAGACAGAGAGGGAGAGCGAGAGATGGGCTGCTCTTCAGATGAGCACGCATGGAGGGTTAGGTCGTGTAGGTTTTGATAAAAGCTTTATTGATGGTTCAGGATGAAAGCTAAGATTTTCAGAGTCCCATTCAAGAGACCCAAGGCTGGAATGCACCCTTGACTGGAACTTGGTGAATCCTTCAGAAAAGAGATTCCAACAGCCTTGTTCGACTCCAGTGGGCTGCAGTCCGAGGCTTCAGGGCTCAGGTGTGAAGTAGGGTCAAAGAAGTCCGAAGGCGTCATGGTTTTCCTGGGTCGAGCACCCTGTCCTCCAGCTTCGCATGGGGAGGCTTGAAGCCCCGCTATGAGCTGCACCACGGTGTTCGGATTTCCGATCGAGCTGTCGTGCCCCGGTGGCCAAGAGAGGCGTAGTTTCCTCGATTTTTCTTGCAAGATCTGTCGGCGTGCTTTGGCTGCGGGCCTCGCCACTCAACGATGTTCCTTGCCTCGCCCTGCGTCCGAGTCCATGTCCGAGGTCGCGGCCGCTGTCCTAAGCGACCGGTACGTCACAGATTCTGGGCTTTTGTTGAGGAGTTTACATTGAGTTACTATAACAAGGAAGCCCTATTACTAGTAATGCTTTATGTCCATATATCCCCATTATGGCATTTATGGTAGAAACCCTATTAAAGCCCTACTACTAGATATCCATATATCCCCACTATGGTAACTGAAATGAAGCTTCTTAGCAGCAGCCCAGGATCGATTCCTGCCCGACAAGGCCATTGACCTGATGGACGAGGCATCGGCCAAGGCCAGGCTTATGATCCCACCCAGGTGGCATGAGGTCCTACTGTCATAGGGGCTCTTAGGACGGGGAGTTTCGAGGGCAGTAGGGGGCTCTACTTCCTTAAGATCGGCTTTACTGGGTCCTTACTGCTGGTATTAAGGCCCCCTACCCCTCCCCCCTACCCCGCCCTAAGGGTCCCTAAGATACGGATGTTACTCTTTGGCATCGTCTTCGGCACTTATTGTGCGGCTATTAAATGGGATAGTGCATGTACCCTTATGGTGATATGCAATCGCATTTCGAGTCTATATTCACATAAATGTACGTGTGCCTGTTACTTGTACAGGCTATGATGGCTCCTGACGGGTTGAACGCCTGCTTTAAAACCAGTCCCGCTCTTCCTTGCAGCTAGTATGGATGGCGCCGTCTGTGCTCGAATCGCTAATCTTGTGTGTCGCCCAGCAGTAAAGCAGCAGCAGCAATAGGAAGAGGAGGAGGGAGAGTAGAAATAGTAGATGCAGCAGCAGCCGCGAGTATCAATAAACTATATGAGGACGGTTACGAGTAGGAAAGGTCAGTGCAGTCGATATCATCTAACCAGGTTTTCTTCGCATCATTCGAGAACGGGTCCACTCCACACGACATGATGATAGCATATCTCGTTCGCAGGACTCTAACCCTTCAAAAGCCCCCAAGCAACCCTAGGCATCCTGAAGAGCACGCCCAACAAAATCCTGAAAAAAACGCTACACAAACCTCAACAACACTAAAAAAGCAAAAAGCAAAAACAAACGCCACGCAAACCTCGAAAAAAGAAAAAAGCCTTAAGGCAACCCTAAACTCAGCATCCCGGAGGTGAAGATGGAGGTCACCTCGAAGCCCGCGGAGCTGGAGAGGTTAGATCGCAAGATACTTCAGCTCCCCGGCTGCCTTCCTACGACGCCTTTTCTGGATGATTCTTTTGAAGGGATGTCCTAGGATTTTTTCACGGATTTCTGGATGTGTAGGGATTTGGGAAAGTAGGGTTTTTTGGGGTTTTGGGCCTGCGGGACTGAGGGTTGTGGGGATGTTCTGGGTCCAGGGAGATTCGGGGATTTTTTGGGGGGTTTTGTTGTTCTGGGCTCTTTGGGTCGTGCATTCAAGCTTGCACTCTCTCGCGGTATCTGGGAATAATGATTATGCTGCGTGGCTCCTGTTATTGGCAAATTGGGTTTTCTGTCAGTTAGTTGTCAGCCAAACGATGCCAAAGGGTTCTTTCCATGCCCTGAGCCTAAACCGTTTGAGCGGGACCCTACAAGGCTTACCCCTAAGCTCCACAGCCTAAAGCTGCAAGCCTACACCCTGAATCCAAAGGTACTAAACCTTGAACCCGGGCCCAAACCTCGACACTCCTCAAGCCTTAGTAAGCCCTAAAACTAGTTGTGCCGGGACGTGACTGGTTGGCGGTGTCCGGGCAGACCTTGCCAAGGTTGGAGATGGAGCGCCTCAGCGTCGGCGATGACAAGGACGTTTCGGGAGATGGTAACATAATCGAACAGGACTGCGACTAGTAATATAAACGTTTTAGGTGCAAGCATGCATGTATGTATGCACATCAGTACATAAGTTTGTGTGTATGTATTTATGTATGTCTCTGTATGTATGCAAGCATGTATGTATGTACTTATGTATGTATGCATGTCTCTGCGTGTCTGTATGACGTTGCTTGTTACTATGTCAACAACGAAGCTCTTGCGTGCTACAACCAGTGTTTTCTACACACCACCGCCTCCTTCGACGCCAAGCCTGCGAAAATTCAAGCCCCAAACCCCAAGTTAAGTCAGTGATACTGTCCAAGGCCCGAAATCCTGGACCTGGACCTCAAACCCTAAAGAAAGTGAGGACAGTCAGTCGGTGGCTCGCGCGAATGAGATCGAAGAAGAGCTGCAAAGGTCCAACGCGGGCTAGTTTTGGTTTTCCTCAGTTCTATTGTTGGCGGAAACGTGCTGGAAGCATGACTGTCCCCAGGCTGAGATCAGAGCAGAGCGAGCGGGAGGATAAGTGGCAGCAAGAACGCCGCTGGCCTCAACCTCACCCAACCTTTCATGTATTGTAGCTGTCCGTAGCCCATACTGGCAAGCCTGTGTAGCAATGGCAGAGTTAGACGCACACACACGTGGGTTCATTATTTATGCGCGTTGTTTGCGGAAAGTACTGTACCGGATCAAGCTTGCATGTTTAACAAGCTTTCAACAGATACTTGATGGGTATGGCGGCATGAGCATGCTGTCACTGCTGTTGCAGTTGTTGTTGCTACTGGTGCTGTGGCCGTAGTGCCGGTAGTTGCACTTAGACTTACTTGGTGCTGGGTTAAAGATGTTGCCAATGCTTATTCCAATGACCCTCTTGGACCTGCTCACCTTGCTTACGATCTTCAGTCGTGCTTCATGTAACAGCAGCATGGGTTTACACGGGTACTTGTGCATTACTGTGCTACATACGTACGCCTGTAGGTGTGCGAGCCAGGTCGTGAATCTTTGTAGTTTGTTCCAGGGTTCTAGGAATCTGGCAGCGAGTCAGCCTTCATGTTTCACTCGTGAAGCACCGTCACCTGCTCGATCTTATGCAAGCCGACGCCACAAGTGGCACCAGACGGGCGTGTGACCGCTTGCGGAGTCGTGAAGATGGAGATCTAGAGTAATGCTGATTGTGCTGAGCACAAAGACCATAGCAACAAGCCCAGTCTTGCTTTTTCTGCCGGTATCGTCAGCGTTGTTGATAACCTCTGGCATGTGTTAAGTCCACCACGGTCAGGCGAATCTATCAACTCACTCCAAGATTTACGTCAGAAGATCGAGGATCTCCTGTGCAGAAGTGGGATCGGTCCGGCACTTTGCAGTCACATGTCATTCCTAGTCTTGAGCAAGCATTTGAAGGCTTCAGCCCGCAGGACATAAGTTAAACCCGAGCCCGCCTGTCTTGACCCAGACATCCAGGTCCTAGGTGGGCTGCTTTCTTGAAATCGGCGCTTTGGCTCGAGGTGTTTGAAGACATCTTCTGAAAGGGAGTACACCTAGAGTGTGTTCTCACAGACCGACGACTAGTTGCGAAAGCCCTGAACCTAGAGCCCTAGACCATCTGACGGATCCATTCTCTGCGGGTAATTTTGCGAGGCTTGGAGTCGTACAGCTGCGGAAGCTGTTAACAACAACCAAAACCAGATTCGGGCTTTGGGCTTGAGCATGGTAGAAGCGGGTGTGGCTGTCAATGTGATCCTTCTTTTTAGTATTCTTGACAGCACCACTTTCGGTGCTAGACCGCCTTACAATACTAGACGATACTCTGCTATGCCATGCTGTGCTGTGCTACGCCCTGCTACGGTGATACTATGCTGTGCTATGCAATACAATGCAATACAACACCATGCAATACAATACCACACGATACAACACCATACCACGGTATGTTTCATTACGATATTACCCTACGCCTTATAAGCCCTAAACCCTGCTGGTCTCCGGTCGGGTGTTTTCCGGAAGGACCTGGAGCGAGCGCTGGCGGAGGCTGAGCGCGAGATGAACTTGCAACGCGCGGGGGAGATCAAGCTTTCCGGCCCAATAGGGTTTAGTGTTAGAAGAAGGACTTTCGTAGGGTTCTATACTGTTCTATCGTTGGGCTTGAGACCGTGGTGGACAGGTCTTCAAAGGCTTATCTTGTATTTCGAATTCGAGTGTTTAAACGCTCTCATCATGGTTTGAAGGCTTGCAGACGTTTCGATGGTCGACTAGCATCCTGTGGCTGGCGGTTCGCACAGCAGTGCCATGGTGTTTCACTGTCCTGGGGCTATGCCCAGGGATTCGTCCAATGTGCTTAGTGATTTTACTCTGCAGGCCTGCAGGCTTTACGACATTGGGCTAACCTGCAGAGATTCGAGTGAAAGACTTTTGAGGATGGGAAATGCTTCTTTATGGTACGCTGTCCTATCTCAAGGTATGGTGAGCTGGCAACGGCCAAAAAGGAGCTTGAGGACGGAAGGGGCTAGTCCGCGGCTGTGGCCTCCCTTGCCCTCCGCAGTTTCTTACGGATATGGGCCTTCTCATGCACCTGCTTTCCTGAAGATCCAGGGTTCTCCAAGAGCTTTCCGGAACTTCCAGGGTTCTCCAAGAGCACCTACGTTCCTGTGGTGCTGTGCAGGAGAGAGAAGCCGAGGCAGCTGACAAGGAAGAGGATTGGCCACGGCTACTATTTACCACGGCGATGTAGACTGCGGCTTCTACTGTAAAAGAAGCAGTGGCAACTAGCGAAGATTAGTGGATTGGGAATATCTCTTAGAAGGTCATACGACTGCACGATCAGTGCATCGACAGAATCAGTGTGATGAGCAGTTGTTGTCGGATAGGAGCAGGGACAGTAGCAGACGAAATGGCAGCAGTCATGGTCAGAAGAGCCACCCTGCCTTTGTCAAGCAATCAGTTGTTTCCGCTCATGTCTCGACATGCTGAGCTGCTAAGCGGTTTTCGGATGCTGGGTAGATGGTCTAAGATGGTCTAAGATGGTCTAAGATGGTCATAGAGAGTCTACAGGCCAGCATGGTTTGAGGTCTTTGTGCTCCGGATTTTCCTGGGCCCCGCGTAGCAAGGACTCCGCCGAGCTCGTCAATGAACGCGTGCCTGCAGCTGCAACTTCCAGAATGGGGGAGTTACTTGTTTTTTGGGGGGTGTCCAGGAGTCTAGAGAGACCGATCCATGGAGACTATTGACTAGGGGTGTGACCGAGTGTGCTTCAGAAGACTTTAGCGATCCAAATCGAAGACCTAAAACGAGACGAGCTCCGATTCCGGCGATGCCCAGGCCTCCCCGGGGCGAAATAGGACAGCTAGGCTCAGGGTTCAGGGTTGAGGGTTTGTAGGGCTGAGGGTTTAGGGTTGAGGGTTTATAGGGCTTAGGGTTTAGGGTTGAGGGTTTATAGGGTTAGGGCCCAGGCGTTTTTGCTGGGACGTGGGGTTTGAGACAAGGAGGCTAGAACGTTGGACTTTTGGACTCAGGGCTTACTCGGTCTGTTTCCATGCCAATCCCGGACACGGACAGAAGGCGTCGCGCATTGCGCAGGGGGGATGGAGTTCCAAGCCCCGGACCCCAAATGCCAGGAAGGAAGGTAGCAAGCAAGCGAGAGAGCGAGTTCAGAGCCCCTGCGGGGGAGGGCGTGGAGGACAGCCCGACCTTAAGCCTAAAGTAAGAAAGAGTGCATAGAGAGACTCACGGATTCTTGCAGTTTGAGCTTTCGATTGGCGTTACCACTGTATGTATGCTAGTTTTCGGAACTGAGGACATCCAGGAGATCGTCTCCATGCAAACAGGCCGACCTGCATTCCTTCTTTGTGAGGCTGTGAGGTATACGCTTGCCGTTTCGGGTTAAGGGTTCGGCAAGCCAGCACAGTGCAGGCATCCCTGTGGAGAAGATGTCCATGGGCGACCGCCAGCGTCTCTTGAATCTGGAGGACCCCTGGGAAACTGTAACTCTTCGACAAGGCATTTCGAGCTACAAACAAAAGTTGACCTGAGGACCAGCTTCACAAGCGCCTCATTGGTCAGGATGATGCAGTCAAGGCCCTGGCCGAAGCGCAGCTTGAGTGCAAATGGTACATTGAGGGATCTCCGTGTAGACCGTCCCCTGCCTGAAGGCGCATCACTTGCGAGGACTTCTATCATAGTATGCTGGGGTCTTGTTAAGGGATTTAATTTACATTACCATAATAAGGAAACCATATTATTTACTATAGATCCCTGATACGGCAACTTAAATTACATAAATCCCTCAACCAGAACCCAGTATGATTCTCAACCCGGCCCTGCACTCCAGTCTGCAAGACTCGGGCGCCCCGTTTCATCCCTTGGCCTCCCGAGGATCCAGCGCTCTCGCTACGGCCTCGCGGATCCGAGCCTCAGCTTGCAGGGGCTCACAAAAAGGGGGTGTGAAAGGGAGTCGGAAGGATTAAGTGATTAGTGGCAGCCAGTTTTTTGTGTGTTAAGATTTTACGTTTAAGGGTAAATATACCATCATAGACACCTCGAGCCCTGTTCTACTTATTGAGGCCACCGTATCATGCTCATTTCAGAGTAGCCCCTGCAGGTGACCAGGACAGCGCACCAGGCAGCTCTATCTCTGAACATAAAGAGATGCGCAAGCCGTCATGCAGATTTAAGGTTAGGCGGTATGGTGTCACGGGACTATGCATGGAGCGAAAGTCGAGTGACGGTAGGGCGAGGCAAGCGAAGCCCGAACAGCAGGAGCAGCCTCAAAAATATACGTATAGAAGCACATGTAGAGATGGTAAGCAAAGCATGATAAAATGCAACACAACCCCAGAGTTGGTTCATTATGTTCAGTAATCATGATGTGTCAACCATCCTGATTACGTGACTGTGTACGCCAAAGCCTTGCTACTATTATCTGAGCTTGAATGATTACCCATATTTGTCTTTAGGGTTCCTTCTAACCCGTCTCATGATTCTAACAGTCTAATATACCCCGAAGCCCTCTCCTAACTGTTAAGGCCTCTAGACTATGAACTACTCTGTCTGACACCAGGAACCGGCCTATAGCCTCCTGCCTTTTTCTTGGCCCCACCGGTGTGGGTCGCGCGGCAACAAACAGAAATGTTCCGCTTGGGCTCTCGGCTTGCAGACGGTAAATAGAACCTCTTGTGGTTTGCTTCAAGGTTTTGCGTCCAGGATTCTTACTTCAGCATCAGGGCCTTAAAGGCATGTCAAGAGGCAAATAAACGGCGAAAGCGACTGCCCATGAGGCAAGACGGAACTCGCCAAGGCGCTGGCTGAGTGGCTGCTTCTTGGAAGCATTTGAACCAAGTCCCTAAAGTTGGCTATCACGTCCCTCGCCATTCGTGTCGTTTCTGTTCCTGTTCATGCTTTCCTGGCGCCCAGGTTTGATTCAGAGGAATCCATGATCCGGGTGGTGCCCGGCTGAGGAACACAGGGTGACGTCTGCGAAGGTCGAATTAGCCCCGCCGCTTCTCTCAGGACATGTCGGAATACATGGAGAAGTTTGCTGTGTCGCGCTTGACCGGTGCCCCGCCAGGGTACGTCGGCTATGAGGAGCACAGTGACTATTGTGCGTACAGTTCTCTCGTTTGGCTGTCGAAGGCTGTTGCTTGTACAGTGGGAGGTGCAGGCTGGCCTGTGGGCAGCTGTTATCAGGTCACTCGTCTTGCTGGTGTGCCGGCCGAGACACAAGTCTCTTCAACCGAATGAACCTCATCCTGTTTTCCGATGGAAGCCATATCTCCCTGCTAGGAGGGTGGCCAGCTGACGGAGCCTGTGCGGCGCAGGCCGTACTGCGTACTCCTCTTCGACGAAATGGAGATGCTCGGATGAGAGAATCCATGAAGCTAGGTCATCTAGGTGTCAAGAGAGTTCTTGCGAGGTCCGAAGTGCAGAGCAGAAGAGAAACTCCAACTTGAGACCCACGCCGCAAAGGCCCTGCAAAAATTAGTCTACAAACTTGGAGTCGAGAGACTAAGGGTGTTGAGAGAGCCACGCCTTTTGCTTTGCATTCGATGCAGCCGAGGAAAGCTCACCCGGATGCTACTCGCAGCAGACATGAACAGGGGCTATCTACTGATAGAGCATGATAGACTGCTCGCAGAATGCAGGCCGAGTCATGCAGTCTGTTCACTGACGTGCAGGTTTTCAATCTCCTGCTCCAGATCCTGGATGATGGGCGCTGTACCGATTCCCAAGGACGTACAGTGGACTTCAAGAATACAGCCCCAAGTCTGCAGCAAACGAAGAAAGGATACACCGGCACTCATGGAACACTTAGAGTTTTGTTTGTTTGCATGTGCTCGGAGAGCGGTATGAAGGGCAGCACAACACGGCCTCCTTCTCATCGTGGCCATCGGGACGTGCAACATACTGGAAGCCGATTTCTGGCGTGCAAAAGCTTTGCAAACGCTGCGTTCTCATTGGACGCGCAGAGACGCAAATGCCTCAGAAGCCCGAGTGGTAGACCTTCACCATGCAGGGGTATGACGTGCAGACGGCACATGTCACTGACACCCTGCCAAAATGGCATGCGTATGCATGCATTGCAGCCAGACAGAGACCGACAGACAGACACAGAGACGGGCAGACAGACAGAGCCACATGAGCGCACGGAGAGAATGAGAGAGAGAGAGAGAGAGAAAACAAAAAACACAAGTGACTACGGTGAAGATGCAGTGGTAGACGAGCTTGCTCGACTATGCAGTCGAACCTGGCACTGGCAGACATCATCCGTTGTCACACTACTATGCACGTGTTTCATGGGCCCGGAAGTCAGGGCTTGTGAGGTTCAAGGTCCGGGCTTAACGATCATTACATTCCGGTTGTTTCCAGCGGCCATCAGGGAGTAGCTTTGCGAGGTCATCATCATGACATCTAACGTCGGCAGCGATGCGATTGCCGAGTTGGGTGTAGGGCGCCCAGCTCAATTTGCACATCTCGCAGCACGCAGTATGCACCACAAAGCTGACACAGAGGGGGAGCTGGATGCAAGCGATGCTGACACGAAGTTCCAAGAGGCCCTAGCACGTGCAGTTTGCGTGTCGTTCGGGCACAAGATTGCACCAGAACTTGTTGCATCTTGGGCTTTGGATGCAGGTGACCGAGGCCGTGCGAGCGGCGATGGCCGACGTCTTTCGTCCAGAGTTCCTCAACCGGATGCTCGACAAACCTTTGATGGTGAGATGCAACTTGTGATGTTTGGTATCGCTCCGGAATTTTTCCATCTTTGCGGCATCTCGCAGCTTGCACCTGTGCTAGTGGCGCTGTACTTGAGGAATGTCTAGACATGATTTATTGTCGGCTTGAGCAACCCCTGAGGATTGATGAAACCATCATTTTCCGGCCACTGAACCGAGCAGACTTGCGGGAAATCGCGAAACTGCAGTTGGACAGGGTGCAGTCGAGAATGGAAGACAGGAGCGGGGCAAGGGCCATAGCTGCATTGACTACTTGCAGATCTCGCAGACTGCTGCTCAATTTGGCAGCGTGCCTGTGAGGAGTATCACGATCGACGTGTCCGATGGTGCCTCTTGTCTCATGGGTTCGAGGCATCCCGTCAACAGGTTTCACCGAAAGACGCGTAAGGTGCGCTGTGCCACGCTAATCTAGTTGACCACAGGTGCTGTGCATTGACATCATGATCATGTCACTTGCGCTTCTGATGTTAAGATGACTTGCTACTCATAGTATCTGTTAGCAGCTGCGGCAGAAGATCTGGCCCTCTGCGTCGCAGCCTGCATGTGTTGTTGTGCATACACCAACAGATGAATAGACCTGCTTGTCATCGAAGTTCGTTTTAAAAGCTGGCTGCTACCAAGGCCTTAGATGTCATTGCACAGCGTGGCTACGACCCCACTTTCGGTGCCAGGCCGGCTCGTACGTTTGAGGTGCTATACTATGCAAAATCAGGGCCTCGGCGTCATCGCCAATAGCATCCCCGGAGACGTTCCATATACAAGGATCGTGTAGTTTACTCCAATGCCTTATTCTAAGTGTTCAGGGCCCCTATACTACTCCCCATCCTGGATTGGGTTCAAGGCCTTGATAGATCGAACACAGTATGATTATGGAGGGACTACAAAAAGCGAAAACTAGCATCAGTGCGACTATCTACCTTTCCCGGCCCTCCTTTGCATAACGCATTGGTGTTTTATACAGTTTTCAGATTTCACTTCCGCAGCAGTTGGGGCGCTTCGACAGCCTCGGAGTGATTTGATTAGTCGTCTACTGGCTATGCTTTTTCCCGCATGACCACTTTACTTTTGAGATTATATAGTAGCAAGAACTGGGTATTGTCATGATTCCTCTTCTGCTCTCTAGGATCCCAGTTTATACCTTATGTCATAGGAGCAGTGAGGAATGATATAGTATAGTATATAACCTATAGCAATTTCATGCCCTAAACTTTAAACCCTAAACCCTCTCGCTTGTGGGCATTGATCCCTAGCCATGCGAGAGGGAAACAAAAACCTATAAATCCCCCTAAAACGAGTGCATGAGGCCGATCAAGCGCTCCATCGTCGCTAACGTGGAGACGCCACTCGCACAGCGAGGCCTTCGAGGCGAATTTGAGGACGGAGACACGGCCGCTGGGAGGCATAGGAAGCATAATTAGGGTTTAGGGTTTGAGGGTTTTAGGGTTTAGGGTATTGGAGCTGTACGGCGAGTACCAAA